AATCATTGACTAATATTTATTGATGTAATTTTAATTATCATTTTTGTTTTAGGTAAGTAGCCGAGTTGAAACTGATACTTTATGTTTGGTAAGTTGTCATTTACACGTTTGGCAAGTTTACTGAATATTGTCTTCTCAAATTGCGAGGATGAATTGATGATTGTCCTGATATATTAATGTTTTTCGTGTAGAGCGTCTTAACTAAATTGGGAACCCCTACTCAATACTTTCTCGATAATTTGTGTCGAAAATTTTGATTTCCTTAGCTTTGTTTTAATAAAAAATGGAACTTTTCTGACTTCGCGAATTAGAATCATTGGTTTTAGTAGTGTGCTAAATCGATACCTACAACGCGTAAGTTAATGAAAGTAAGTTAGAAATATAGGCATGCATTTTTCCGTTATCATACAATGTAAGCTTCAAAAACGAACTTTTCATCATCTTTGTAATTAATGCAGTCACGTTTGGAATCATTTGGGATTAAGTATAGGTATAGCTCTGATTAAAGAATGGAATTAGTTTTCATATGATGTTGTCCTGCTTAAGGAAATGACGAGACTCAAAGAGAATAAATTTAGTTCTTCATCTGTACAAATATGATCTGTTTGAACATTTTTTTGAAACATTTCGGAAGCTGGTTGTGCATATTAGGGCTCCTTGGTATTTGAGTTTCCCAGGTTAATTTTTATAGTTATGGATGATTATTGGTGATATTTCTAAATATTTGTTGAGATGCATTAGGTAGGTATAGTTCGGCATAGACACAGGTTTTTCCTCAATGTAATATTTATTTATTGATCTTTGTTCTCACCTCATACCATGTAAAATTTTCCCAGTTCCTATGAGCTTTTTTTTTTCAATTTGTTCATAAAAGAAACGGCCATCGAAAAGTATAACTTTTGCTACTTCAGTACTTCTGTGTGGGTACCTATCTCGTGTCTTTATTTTAAATGAAAATTCGTACTGAATATTCGTGGGAAGTTAGGATAACTTCATATTCAGTACTTGGCCCTAAAGGGCTCAAACAAAATTTCTTGTATTATTTAAGTATAGTAATGGGAAAATTAGCTTCAATCCTAACGAGACTTCCTTTGAAAAGTGTAATTGTTTTAATGTTTCAATTCGAATAATAATAAAAGCATGTCCATTACGTTCTGTCCAATAAACAATTATTTATACTTTAATTAAAAATCATTAATTATTGAAACGATAAAATAAGTAATTTTTACAAACGACGGAGAATTTATAGCCCCTAACTCACCTTTAGAGTGGTTTTGTTTAACTTAGTGTCAGAAATGCGTACTCATAATAAAAAGTGGCCCTGTTTTGCAAATTCACCAAGACCAAAAAACGTATTTGCAGAGTTTGGACGATTATTTCTTTCCTTGAGCCAAAATTACAACAATTTTACGACAATTTCACGATTAGGTACTTCCAAATCAAATACTTGTAACTTATCATAGTGATTACTATGGAGAATGACACATTACTGGCGAGGAAATATTGAAGTACGAGGGCCTTTTGGAACCGAGAATTTTGTAGTCAAGCAGTGTCATTTTACTGACGAGTTTTGTACTTATTACATTTTTCCGGAAATCGTCGTTTTAATATAAAATTTCAAATTCCATATAGAAGTTTTGGTTGATATATTAATGTGTCAGTTGTGACAGGAATCTGGTAAAGCGATAGGAAACAGAAAAAGTAGTCAGGTAAAGTAGAAATGCTGGAGAATAATGACGGACTTTCTAAGACACAATGGTAAAATTCCAGACGCAAATGAGGGGTTGATAAGATGCATCACTCTTCAGAAAAGCAAGAAGGTATAAAAGTTGTCGACAGACGCCTTCACATATTATGTTCTGATAAAAAACGTTCCTTTAAAATATCTTTCGTTGCCTTTTTTAAAAGGCTTATCAATATCAAATGGAACAAGAATGTAGCTTGGGGGTGTAACCTCAGTGTTGGGCATTCATTTCCCGAACACTTCTTTAGAAATGATCCTTACCGCGCGGTGCACTTCCAGTGTCTTATCAGTACCAAATAAAACACGCATTTTAACTCACTTCTACGGGCAACAGGAAATATTCCCCTGCAAAATTGAAATTGATTTGTATCCATAGTTTCTCTCGTATGTGATATCAGTTAATTATAAAATGAAATAGTGCTCCCAATCTTCACCATTGGGGTGAATATTGGGTTATTTCTATTCCCTCTTTTCCTCGTTTTCACATTGAATCAGGTTACTTATTCTTCCTTGTTTTTGTAAAAATGTTATGTGCCATCCAGTAATATACCAGTCTCTACTCGAGATTAAAAGGCAAAATACAAGAAAATTAACACATTCACTTTCTGCTTCTTGCGAAAAAATTGCAGAGTAGCGTTCATTTCTTACACAGAACATTTTGAGGTGCTGAATCCGATCTCAGGTTTGGTTGAAAAAATTTTGATCATTAAAAAAATTATCAAAGTGTTCGTGTGAGATCGAAGTGTAAGATCGTGTAAAATCTTGTCGGGAGCATTCCATTTGTTGGTACCCACTTCCGAGTTGCCGTTCACTCGCAATTCGCATTTCGCTCCACCAATTAGTACTCAATTTTTGGGGTACTTCTCATAACTCGAGCTTCTATTGACGACACGAGAATGAGAGATCGCGATTCGACTTCTCAGAAGCTTTTGGGCGACTACCTCTCGAAGTCGCGCGGCTTGCAAAAGGTGGTTCATTTCGCCCTTAAGAAAAAAACAAAATTCCACGGGAAAACTTACTTTGCTACTAAAATACTGATCTGTAATACCAAAAATGCGCTTTAATCATGCATATGCTGATTTACTTCCGGTTGGTCCTTTTTGCACGTGATGTGACTAAAATACTAATTGGCCGTAGGTCCTTAAAATCTTGAGCATTCTTTATCTTAGGTAGCGGTACCACAATGGCGTTCTTCCAAGCATATGTATCCAATGACAATCAGTAAATGAGATCTTTCATTTTAGTAAAAAATTTAAATTTTATGCGATTGCAGAAAACATCTTGTGTGTATAATTCGAGCGCAAATTAATTGTCGATTTCAAAAGACTGTCTCTTTTAATCGACAATATATACCATTTTGCGCTCTTAATACACAAATAGCTATTTTTTATCTTTAGGGAAAACCAACCTTAGAAGTCGATGAAGATGAACATTTTCATTTTGTGCAATTTTTGTATGCAGAGACTTAGAAATAAATAATTCATTATCTGAAGCTTTAGTTTAGGGACATTTAACGCCGCTGTTCGGCAAAATTTTGTTTTTTATACTACTTTGCGATGTCACTAAACTAAGGAAATTCTTTTAGTAAAAAGTGATCTGCATTTGCTATTTTTGAATGGAATTACCCAATAATTTACTATAGAAAGTGTGTAATATTAGGATTCCTACAGGCAGCGATCTCCATCAATGAAGCTCCAATTTTTTACATTTGGCCTACGTCATAATTTTTACATGACATTACTCCGCAGTTGGAGTTATATTGACGATAAAAGGATTTAAATTTAAAATTCCTTTGGGCTCATACAACAAATCCTAAAAGACCAATTGCTAATATAGCATAACGTAGGTCGTAGAGCGTCCTTCTTAGTTCACCACCCGCGGTGACAAAACTGGCTACTCACTTGCCTTCTACCACAATTATTATGTGTTAGAACGGCAAAGATATATAAACTGATGGCGTGCGTTAATTAAGCGCTAATCCGAAATCGAAACTTACTCATTTTACAGACTATATAACCATATCTTAAGCAAGGATGAAATGTTACCATATTGATTGAATATTGCACTCGTACAATTTTGTAGGATGACGTTGATGTGCATTGCATGTATCTTAAAACTAGCAGCAATTCATTAAATGAAAGCCTTCAGTAATAAATTATGATTTTTGAATGGAAAAATCTGGTTCTTGTATAGACAGTCTAAATACGTTAGGGTTAGATCATAGAAATTTGTTGGGTATATTATGTACTTGCATTTCTGAGACGGAAAAGTGCGAAAGATTGACAGTGTCCGAGCAAAAAACCGGAAAAAAGGAGATTTATGTGGCCTTTTTTACACACTGAAAAAAAAGAAATGTCGCAACTAACAATTAGTTACTCCAACTAATTTTTTTAGTAGCTATAGCCTCAACAAAATTATTTGCTGTAGGAAATCAACATAACTTGTTGGAAGTAAATTTGTTCCAGTAGCTAAAACAATTATTTGTGACAAATTATACAAGTTAGTTAAGAAAGTATACCGTTTTTGTTTGAGGAACTAAATAAGCTTGCAAAAAAATTTGTCCCTGTAACAAGTAATGCTTAGTCGCAGCAGCATAGTGGTATTGTTATATAAACTAACGAGTATTTGCTGGACCTCCTAATTTGTCCTTTTTTATCTTTGTTGTAGTAGCATACCATTTATGCTGGAAAAACTAATAACAATTCTCAAATGATTAGTTGGATTAACTATGAATCCTGGTTGGCACAATAAATTTTCCGCTCTGTCTGCATCGTCCACGCGTTTTGGTGATGTCAATTAAAACAAATCACTTTTTTTTTAAAATACACATTTATTAAATCACTTACTGTTTACCTAACTACAAAAGAAAAACTTTTTTATCATTAACATCTCCAAAGACAAAATATAAAACACTTAAATTAAAACCGAGATTAAAACTTACCTACACTACATGCAAACAGCTTTTACATATACAGCGTGTTTCGAAATTCGCGCACACGGACTATGGGATGGTGTTATACAAAGAAAACTGAATAAAAAGTTCCTCGACGAGTTTCTGATCAGGCCGGCACTTTTCGAGTTGTCGTTGTTCGAAAAATCTAAAAATGAAAATGCCGGAAAACAAAAGATAGTTCAAAACAATTTATGGATTAAAGTTACACTTACCTTCAAACACCAAAAGTAGTTCGGGGAATCCCCATTGTTCCAATATATCACCTACACTTTGTTCAGCCATTGAAAAAACATTAAACAGCCTTATTAATAATCAAATTTAGTTGCTACTTTCATACTACTACAATCCTACTAAAAAATTGCATTAATAAAGGTGTTTAATGTCAACTAGCGTTAGTAGTTACTTATTTTATTAGTAGTGTGGTATGGTATGTTTTGTACGCTACTAAAGCACACATAACCTAAAACTGCAGTGTATAGTAACCGCGTTTTATATGTATATAGACTGTAAAGCTGTATGTTCATTATTATGGACAACATTCCCTCTGTAAGCAATGTAAGTAAGCACTTACAAATAACGGATGTAAGTTAATTGTTTACGTAGACAAAGCGACCACGATCCACCAATTGGGACGAGACGGAGAAAGAAGTGTTTTTGGAATGCTTGCGACCAGAACTAAACATTATTGAAAATAAAAAAAAACTAACTGTTTTAAATAAGGACAAGAACTCTGCATGGCAGAGAATACAGAGAAAAATGAAAGTTGAAGGTAAGTTATGACTTATGTACAAATGTTTTCTGTTTTAACATTTGTGTACGTAACAGGGTACAATCGAGATGTACATCGCATGAAAGAGCAGTGGCTGCGAGTAAAACAGCAAGCGAAACGCAATGTGGGACAATATAAAAGACAAGCAAAGCTAACTGGAGGAGGTCCTCCGCCTCCGGAGCCGACAGATTTTGATTGGAAAATCAAAGACATGATTCCGCATGACTTTGTTGAAGACAGCTCGTGCTTTGATTCTGACACTACCCCTGTAATTTTTACTTGACAATTAAGGTATATTTAGTAATATTTACTTCCGCAGGTGTTACCTGCTAATGCAGAGAACACGCAGATTTCATGTTCAACTAGTGAGCTTGAAAAGCACGTACCTTTAACTAGTCAGCAGGAGAAGTACCAGCCTTCATCTAGCCAGGGTGAGAAATTTCAGCCGTCATCTTGTATGTCAAAGAACCCCCCCTACTCTAAACGTTACGATCACAACTACGTGACTGAGAGTTTCTCGGATGATAAAGTATTGCAACTTGATGAATATGAAGAGATAATAGAGGAGACAGGCACCTGTGACATGGATGATGAAGAGGATAACAATGTAACTGGTGAACAAACTCCAAAGGCAGCCCCCCTGAAAAAGAGAGGGCAGGTAAAAATGAAGGCAATGACTCAATATGAGAGACAACTTCTTAAGTTGAATGAAAAAAGAATTGCCCAAATGATGAGACATGCAGAAGAATTACACGCACTCAAAAAGCAGAACGAAAATAAACTGTTTCAAGAACAATTGAAACGTTTAGGCGGATCGATACCTGATACAGAGGGGAGTTTCTGATCATAAAATAAGTTTAGTTCGTCGTTAGTTTTTCTTACTATTATAAGTTATAATCATAGGAATATAAAATACACTCTATGTACTAAAGACAGGTATTAAAGGCATTTTTGACACATCTTGTATAATATTTCATTAAAATGGGTATCAATATATCTAGCTCGAAATAAATTTCCTTGAACGTGTTCCCTTCCATCATTGTGGTATATAACCCTGTCATTGTCATCATCATATTCGTCATCTGATGAATCTGTTACAACATCATTACAACAACTAAATTGCATCAATAACGATTACCATCATTGTCTAAGCGTTCCTGAATGATAAGATTATGAAGTATTGCTGTTGCTACAATAACCGCTTTGGTGGTTTCTAATTGTAGGTTTAGACCATTAAAAAAGCAGCGAAACCTATTCTTCCAAATGCCGAAAGTCCTTTCAATAACATTTCTTGTTCTTATATGAGCTGTATTATACCGTTGTTCTGCATTTGTTTGTGGATTTAATAACGGAGTAAGAATGTAGCGTGAACATTGGTATCCATTGTCGCCAACTAACACCCCATCTATTTCTCCATGCTAAAAGTGTAATAGTAATAGAAGTTGAACTACAACCAATATCTATACCATAAACCTGCGTCTTAAGTGGCACTCGTTCCATATCCTGGAGTCATGAGTGCTACCACGCCATCGTGCAACAATGTCCCGAATCTTACATTTCGCATCACATACTACCTAAAAAGCACACATGTACAATGTATCCCCATAACATAAGACTTGCCTGCACATTCAAGGAATAATATCCTTTGCGATTTAAATAGAGTAATGGATAATCTCCTCCAGGACACTTAATTTTGACATGGGTGCCATCAATTGCACCTATGACTGATGGACAGTTGGCAAATCTATAGAAGTCCGCTTTGACTTGGTGTGATTCTTCTGCCGTAGGAAAATTTATAAATCTGTGTCTATGTGCTGCCAATGCTTGCGAAACCCTCTTTATAATATTGGATAATGAAGGCTGTGATAGTCCATGTTGATCCGCTACAACATAACACAGATCACTATCCACGTTAATTGGTATTCTCCTACCTATATCGACTCCGTAAGCTCCCTTAGCTAAGTACCTAACTGTTGCCAGAAACTGAACAGTCGCCGATATAGGTGAGCCCCGATTATTGATAAACGGAGCTATTTGTCCCTCAATCATCTGAATAATGCGTTCAGCAGTTGCTTTTCGCATTCTATACCGAATACGAAAGTTCTCCTCATCCAGTACTTTCTAGCAGGTTTAGCCGCTCTAAATAAACTTTTGGATTTCTATGTATTACCATTTCCGCTACTTCTGCTTCAGCAACTTCTTCATCGACATCAATTAAGTCAAAACCGTAATTTGCCATTATAAATGAATTACAAATAAATACGGACGCAGGTTTCAGGTTATGTTTATGTCAAACTGCTATGGTTCTTAACACGCACGGTCTCTCAGTGCCGCGTTGCCATTCGCATATTGCAACTAACATCTTACTAAGTAGTACCTTCTAATTTATGCACTATTAATAAGAAGCTTTAGTCGACTGTTAGTGGCTACTAGTTAGTAGCATACTAAAACCCTACTTTCGGTTGCTCTATTAATAAGGCTGCATATTTTTAGGTATTGCGACAACCACTGATTTGTACCTACTGTATCCTCGTGTTCTCTATTTTCCCCCTCTGTTACTGTACTTGTGTATCAATGTCCCATTTTCTGAATTCATCTTCCATCCTTATCCTTATCCCTATTTTTCTCCTCCTTTCGATGTCATCCCATCCCTATCCATTTTTTTATAGTATTTTTTTCTTTGCTCTTCCCAAATTTCCTTTGTATTCATCCCTTAGATTCTTTCTCTTACATTCCTACACACTAAGTTTTCACAAGGTGTCTTTATAGACATGTTTGCTCTTCGATTATCGAAACGTAATGATTTACCCTAATAGTCTCAATGCGTCTGACCAGAATAGAAGAAGTACCTCGGTTCAAAACACTGTAGCTAGAGTACTCCATTTGATTCAACAAGAACTTTTCTTATTGGGATCATGTAATTACAAGACATCATTGTAATTATCCTGAAGTAAATTACACGAATCGTATCGCGCCAGGTGTTATGTTGACGTTAAGTTGACCAGCAGCTGCTTTCAAACACACACGCAGCTAGGTAGAACCCGATGGGTAGAAGGTCCATAGAGACTCTTAAGGTTTTTAATGCTATTGTAGACTCCTAGAGGCGTTTAGATGTTCATAGAAAGCCTTAGTCACCCTGAAAGGCTCTTAAAAGCTCTTTATTTTATAGCAGATGTTAGATTTACACATTAATAGGTTTGAATGAGTACGCTCTTTAACCATAGGGGTAGATAAAGTGATCCCTTTAACTGCTCTAGAAGGCTTTTAAAGACTGCTATTATCTATTATCTCTTATCTATATTTGGAATACTAATAGAGATTCTTCATACTAATAAAGATTCGAAAAGACCGAAGAAAACATAAATCATTGACAACAGTAGAAGTAGTACCTACACAACCGATAAATGTACAAAAAATCGTCGGATTTTTAAGTGAATTACTATATTTTTTTGAGAAATAAAAATCCTCACCTGAGACAAGTCACTTTTCATCGTGTTGGTATTCTATTGCTACTAGAGGATGAAATGGAAAAAGGAAGGTTTTACGATAAAAATGTGATTTCTTTAAATTCGTAGTCAATTAAAGAACAGCGTTACCTACACGTCCGGTCGGAATAAGGGGTGCTGAGTAGCGCTTCCTCCCCATTTACACAAGCTGTTAAATACAGTTATATACAACTGTATGCAGTGAGTTTTTTTAAGACTGGCCATAGGATTTTACATGGTAATTAACTCCCTGTTAACTTTTGTTTTTAGGAAAATATTCAACCCAGTTTTATAGTTAAGCTGTGGGAGCGGATAAAGTATCGAAGTAATTCCAATTTAATATCCACAAGTAAGGAAAAACCTAGCAAAAAGATTTTCACAACTTTCACAAGGAAAGGAAGATATTTTCATTCCAGAATTTTGTTTATACAGACTATTACTCCACAAAATGAAGTAAATAACTAAAAACGTTAATATTGAATCAAATAACAGCGTTAGTCTTTGTAATTTTCACAAAAATAAAAGGTAACAGGGGGTTGAAAAATTAGAATCCTATGGCCAGTCTTAAAAAAAATCAGTGTATACTATCTTTGGTAAATATAAATAAACTGTGCCCACAATTGTCATCGTTTTTCGAATTATTCAAATTATGGCCAATGGAAATCAATTATTATAGATGCAGATAAAACTTCGGAAACTTCAATTCTTTCCACACTTACATCCCCACCCCTAGATTCTTACTGCTTTAATAGGGACCCCTGGTAAAAGAGTTCAATAAAAACTGGCAGCACATCGATCATTTATAGATTTATAATTTGTATTAGATGTGTATTTTTCTACAGATCACAGAATCCTAACCTAACAATTGTTAGCTGTACAGTTCGATTACACATAAGATCGTGCAGGGGCACAATTTATCGGAGGTGAGCATTAGTTACGTGTATTAACTTTAACGAGGTGACTATTTCAACTAAATACAAAAATTAAAAGATTGCAAAGATCAGTGCAATAATCACTGGTGGTTCAGGGCCTGGTGGAGTTGAGGTGAAATGGAAATTATAGGGAGGATTCCAAGGTGAATGCACTTTTATGGGTATATACCAATATTTTCGTTAAAACATTATGGAACAAGAGTAAACAATGACTTGCATTGTAGGCAGCGTAAACTATAGGTTGTTTGTTATGGAAAAATTTTTACTACTATGAATTCAACATAATTAAATTAAATCCCTATTCATATGAAAACTGTTTTCATTATCGTGCTCTCACGTACGTCAAGGAACAAGCAAAGCCTATTAATAGTTGTCTAGAATTAACATATATTTACAAACTACGGCACTGCCCGTTTAAGGGAAGGGGTTTTAAAATATTTCACTTGATAAATGAACGAAGGCAATCCTTGCAATTATAAAAAGAATAAGAGATTAAAGAGTAAACTTAATCAAGCTTCTTCTCTAATTATAATTCTTTGAAGGTCTGGCCTGATTGATTCACGACCCAGATTGACTCGTAGAGTCAACTTGACTCACCAACTCGCGGTCCCACCTTGATCCGCGTATCCGATTTGAAACGTCGACTCACGGTTCCAACTTGATCTGCAATTTTTCATAGTCACCCAAGGTCTGCGGAACGCATATTCGAATTATAGAGATTTCATACCTGTCTTTTAACTTAGCGTAGGTACGAATTTAACTATCTCGTCAATTGTACCTTTGTTTACAAATTACAAAATTGGGTCGCTAAATTTTCTAGTACCTCAAGAACGTCTGGGGTAGGTAAGCACACTCACACCTACCGATTGGCATTAGTTTCTTTTATTGCTATCAAACAGTGTAAGGTTGGCATCGGATCTCGAAAAGAGGTGGACGTTCCGCAAATTTTCTACGTACAGAACAAACAGAAAAGCCAATAACTGACATGTCCATGCTATTTTTTTAAAAATTAATTAACAACATACCAGGGTTCGTGTATAAAATTTTAACTTTTCAATAATTATTATCAAACATACTTTGCGCGTCTGCCTTTTACAGATAACATGTACATATGGGTTATAGGTTTATCCCGCATTATCTCAAAAAGTAAAGGAACATTAAAATGATGGACACCACAAGATTAATAGGTTCATAGGTTACAATTAATTCTGTGAATCCTATGGGTATTTATGTTAAAAAAAATACCTTCGGAAAGTAGTCTTTGCAAAATGTCACTAGAAACAAGATCCATGGGTTTTGAACGTTAATATAAATTATTCGATCAGCAATAAATAAATATCAAATACTTATTGTCTACTTCAGGTATAGTCTCCCAAAAAGATCGCAATTGGCAAAACACACCATTTTCACTTGTTATGTTATAAAAATAAAACAACAAATCTTAAAAAAACACTTACATCGTATCATCGACAGATATCAATCTTTATCAACTACATCCCATCGACACGTGTTTTACGTATAACGAAAATTCTTATCAATAATTCGAGAATTGTCATCCTATTGTTGATATTGATAACCTAGGACCTGGGTTCAATTTTTGCAACATGTTTCTTAATTTTGATGCAAAATCCAGATAAAACAGGAATATTGTTCAAAGATTTTCAGGAAAATGACCCAATTGCGATGTATTCAAAGAAATTTTGAAAACTAGTCAATGTAATTTTTTATATTTCTAATTAGGTTTATTAACTAAATTCGCTATTTTTATTGCTGTTAACTAATTGTTGATCAATATAGAGGTGCGGTTTATTTCTTCTAAAGACGGAGAGGGTTCATGCAAAAGAATCTCTCCATGAAGTTATAGGGATATATTAATACTTTGCGAATCCATTGTTGCAGATGAAAATCTGTTGTGGTATATTAATTGTAGGTAGCCACTTAGTATACGAGGTGTGTTAAAAAAATAACGGGAATTTTCGTTTAAAAAAAATTATTTATTCGTCTACATTAATGCTCTCGCCTTCAAAATAGTCCCCATTAGATGCATTTGCGCCAGCGCTTCTTCCAATCCTCGAAACACTTCTGAAACTCGATTCTTTGGGATAGCCTTTTAAAGTTCTCTTTATTTTTGGAAATAGGAAGAAATCACACGCAGTCATGTCTGGCGAATTCGTTACAGTATTGTTTTTGGCCAAAAATTCACGAACAAGCAAGGATCTGTGAGTGTGTCGTGGTGCACATTTTTCCACAAATCAGGGCGTTTTTTCGGATTACTTTTGTAGAGTGAATTGCCTCAGAGTAGCCTTTGCTACTTATATAATCCGGCAGCAAACGACAGTAAATATTCGCATTTTATTATTTTGTTAAACATCTTTTCTTTACGTTTATAGTAAACTTTAATTAAATATTGAGGGCAGGGGTTGACTGTGTTTAGTCAAAATGTTTCCCACGATAATTTTATTCATTTGGAGTAATTAATTTTGTGATGCTAATTTTTTGTGTGACATTGGAATCTTATTACCTGTGCATTTAAGTATATGTCGTCATGAGTAAGTTCTTTAACAAAGGAGCGAAACAAACAACAACACACACAGGTTTTTTTCAATAAGTATGCTATTGCTATTTCCTATTTTAATCTTAGAAGTATTATTATGCACGAACACATGAACGTATTTTTTGATGCG